TTGGTTAAAACGAGCTGACAAAAACTGGTCGTCTAGAATAGGGAACGCGAGTTCTAGACAACACTCGTCACTGCACAGATTTAAAAGTGGTGAAATTGTTGATTTTGATGAAGGAAGGGCTTCGGTCTAAAAAAAGACGAACAGCCATCAGCATGTGCTGTTGATACTATCGCTCAATGGTGGGAGGAATCATCCTCAATAGCAGCACAAGGAGCCTTTGAGGAGGTGGCCAGCGCTGTGCGATTCGACGAAAATGATGCTGGCTGTGGTATTCGGCGCTCTCGGTACTAGGAGCATTCGATCGATGCCACTCATGTATCGTAGAGAGGGCCACAGTAGGCGCGTTTTACCTACATTCTATATCCGAAACTCAGTCTGCCTATCTAACAGAAGCCTTGCATGGGTTCGGGCGCTGTGAGTCTGCGTTTCGTCGTATTCTCTAATGTTTACTCAAGACTTGATATGCAAGGCTGTACTCAGTACGTACAAAAACCGGGCGCCGGATATTCTCAGAGTCCATCTTTCTTCCGAGAAGTTCATTCTACCTTCAGTATAGTATCTATTTCGTAGGCAGGGTGATTACCGCCGGTCCTTACTTCATCGCATATACATAAGTACCTGTGCAGTACGCGCCCCGAATGCAGAGCAATCCAGGATGAAACAGCAGACATTGTGATCTCCCCGATCCTGTTGCTGATCATTTTTTCAACACTGGATGTTCAAGTTTCTCTATGCATACTATATAACAAAGGATGCCGTTGTGTATGTTATCCCTGCAGACCATCTCTCTATCTTCCCCTGGTCTTCTACGATGGCTAGTCAGATCGGTCCTCCAATACCAGATCTTACCGACGCCGACAGAGCTTATATTACTACAGAGCTCGACGCTGCATTGAATTCTCGAATTCTCTATTCTCTACTACTTGGTGTGCATATCAGTTCGTCCAAACACAGGTGTCTAATCATGGCCCGTAGGTCTATACACCGGAATCGTTGCCGTCACATTGGAAAGCATCTGTGAGAGAAACAGGTCCACCACAGTATTGCATTGTATGGAAGCTGAAGGAAATGACGCATATACGAACAAGACTCGGATTGGAGGACGGGGTATGCTCGTTGTTATATCTACCCTCCACATCGTCACTTCCGTCAACTTCATCGCGGACTGGGTATACACACGCAATCTCTTTGTTGGAAACGGACAAAGTTCTTGGGCGGAATATCTATTTGCAAACAGTGACCGTGTCACATTGACTCTGGTGATGGGTGTGGCAGGTATTCTCTGCACTGCTCTTGCGGACTCCACCTTGGTATGTGAAGCTCGTACAACTTATTTTTTGGGCCGTGGCAGCTTACCCTCAACAATGGATATGGCGCTGCTGGACGGTATGGGGACGGCGATGGCCAGTTATCTTACCTCCCGTCCTCTTCCTCATCTGTACAATCGGTATGAACAATCTAAATTTCAAGGAATTCGCGAACTCACCCCATGCAGTATTCAACAGCATCGCTATATACAAGGCATATGCTACCGTAAGCGGGTACACTTTTGGATTCGTGCTTTATTCGGTCTTTATCCTCGCTACGACTCTATGGTGCACCCTGCTCATCATCTACCGTATCGTGACCGTTGTACGAGGGCGGCTCAAGACCTACCGCCACATTATCGAAGTATTTGTCGAGTCTTCAGCTCTTTACTCGCTGTGCTTGATCGTATATGTAGCAGTGTTTTGCTATGACACTCCTGCATCGTTTTACATCGATGTTGTAGCAGGGGTTGCAAGGGTAACGTTCTTTAAGTTTAGACGTCTCACAGTTGTTGAATTCACATTAGGGAATTGCACCGACGCTTCTCGTGGGGCGTGTTGCAGCAGGACATGCGCGACCGGATGATTCATGGCGAGGGAGCATCATGCCTTCGAACGGCGGAGGCCTCAGCAGGGTAGTGATGAGCTTGAAGCTCAGGTGGAGAGAGGTGATGAATATGTGCTGGAGGAGGCTTCTACTGCCTACTCAGATGATGGTGTCAGTTAATAAGATCACTGCAAAACTCAATCAGAGGAACTACTAGATAACCCAGCAGCCATCATTGTCCCGAGAGATTGACTTCTGAAGATGATGTGCCTTCTATTTCACCCCGCTTTAATCGATCATTCTAGTTCCTTTTTGTGTGGATGAGAGGGCGCGGTTTCCGTACTCCGGCCGGTACATACTACGTACCTCCTCTCCTGGTGTAATCCATCTACACCGTATCTGTAAATGCCCGACGGCTCATTTCTATCCTCTTAGGAAAACCTGCACCTATATACCGCAACACAGCAGGAGCGCAAACAGTCCTTTCTGCTAGCATACAGAACTGAGGTCCATGCAGTCTCAATTTTTTCCTCGAGGCGTTTACCTGGGTAATCGGCGCCTTGCCGGTACATGTGCACCATCGTCGCAAGTTCTCTCGGTAGCTCGCGTGGATCTCCCTTATCCGAACGCCAACAATTCTCTCCGGGTGGTGAAGAACAGGCCGCAAGCTCCATTTTGCATGCACGTGAATAGAAATCGACCTTTTCTTTATATGTACCCCTAGCTTCTCATGTTGAAGGAGCCCTGGACAAAGCTCGCATTCGAACGCCACACTCCTCGTTTTTTCGTTTGTACTCCAAATGTCCCCATAGCAAGGATTAATTACATCGTGTGTCCCATCTCGATGTGTGATACTGTTCTATTTCCCACAAAGCGATCCTTTCAGCTACAACTTACCTAGTTGACGGTTAGAGCTGCTTGGATTCAGAGTGCACCTCCGCGACAGGTGACTTGACGGATCAGTTTCTCACTGAAATGTGATATTCTCGTTCGTCTTCTAAAAATCCTCTTCTTTTTGTCAACTGCTACGTGAGTGGCACCCTCTAAACTTCTAAAGTTAATTAGCTGGTTTCAAGATATCCCGCATGGATAAGCAGTGATGATGATTCGATGCGGAACAAGTCGTACAGTGACTGAGTATCAAGACTCAGGTCCGTGGAAATGTTGAATGGGAACCCGGAATTCTATGTTTCTGGATTCTGAGCTCACAGCGAGAAAAAAGTCGACATCAGTCGAGTATGATGGCGTTTTAGAGACAAAATTAATTATGTATTTTTTTTCCTGGCTATTCCGAGTATTTCGAGGTATTATCAGGTATTATCAGGTATGCCGAAGTAATGCGAATTTCGGCAATCAATACTTTGACCAATTCCGGTAGCATACCTCTGAATACTTCTACCTGCCTTTACCTGGATTTACTGAATTCGTGATGATCCGAGAAGCCCGTCACTCTGTGGTTTCCGGGGTCCATATACAAATTTCTGATCGGACCGGTTACCAATCTGACGGCACGTGCCTCTCAGATCTTGCCTGACCAAATCAGCTACTTACTACGTACAGTTTAATGAGCACAACGGGCGATGCAAAGAAGAGGGCATGGCCAAAGGGCAAGATGGGTGGGAAGAAGAAGGAGAATGCCGAGAGCGAGGACAATGGCGAGGCTAACGAAGACGTCGACACCAACAAGAAGAACCGAGAGGGATAAGGAAGATGCGTCTTTTTATTCTCTTTCTTTGCCTTCTTTTCATACTCTCACCCATGTCAACCTACGACTCGCTCCTTGAATACCTTATCTATGATGCAAGTTGCGCCCAGCCAAAGGACCTTCTGCAATTTTGTGCCAATTTGTTCCAGCAGCAGCTCAAAGTGCATGCGATGATCTTGCTCGTCGAACACCTGTGCTTTCTCGCAAGTTGCCTAGCCCTTTTGGTACTCTGCTGGGTCCGATATCAGTGTCTCCCTTCCACCAAGCACCGCACTGCTCCTCCTTGAGGAATAGCATCAGCCTCTGAAGCTATTTCATGCTCTCAATGTTGCCCGGAATGCCTCGCTTGCCAACAACCCAATGGGACAACTACCTATCCAGATGGACAGATGTGTTCTACCAACACCATCTCCTTTGTTGATGTCACCCCCGTTCCTAGTGTGCAACGACACCCTGGTCCCACCCCAACCCCTGGTAGCCTCCTCGTGCGGAGGAATGGGGCAGTCATGGTGCGATGCAGGAGAAAATGACTGAGAAAGGGGGAGTCATGATGTGACGACGGGACGTCGGCGACTGCTTTTACATGGTTGAGTCAGGTTCTATCAACTGTGACCCTGCTGTCTTTGCTCGATTCAAGGGGGCAAAGCAAAATTGCTGATGCACTGGTTGGCACATATGGACACGACATTCCTAGATTTGTATCAATGTAATTCATTTCTGTACTCATTCTTACAAAAATACAATATATGTTACAAAATTAACTAGGGGAGGAGAGCAATGTCAATTTAAGTGGGAGGAACTCTGTTTTCTAGCATCGTACATACAATATTTATCTTATTGGGTGTACAGGTCCACCGTTCTTAGCGGCTTAGAATCAGAACATGACAGGCCTTCGTAAATAACGTAGAGACCATCCTAGAAAAAGGAAACCACAAAGCGAGTCATATTTGACAATCTTGGCTAGAACGGAGCATCAGAACGCCATTAATTCAGGAGAGGATGGTGAATTCTTACTGCTAGCAAAATCCTGGTATCCTCGCTTTGCCCAGAGAATGAAGAATCCCCAAACGAAAATGTACGAAGCAACAGAAAGAGTGCTTAACCACCATATGATTGGGTTACCAATAAGGTATATCTAGACGTACGATATATGGGTATGTGAACCCTGAGGACCCCCGGAACTATCCTTCATTTCGGGCCTAGCCGATATGCCCACGGGAATGGAGGTTTTTTCCGGTATTCTTAAGTAGAGCGCTATCTCAAGCTGTCGCCTACGGCATTCGAAGGCCCGTACTATCATTACTTATGATTACCTTGCTTTACTCCATTTACTTACAAATACTTCATAATACCTGCATTTACCTGGGAATCCTTATTCCAAGGTGAAAAAAATGAAAAATATGTGATTTTGTCCTATAACCCACAACAATAGTCGACAAACCTCTCTGGCCTGGGAGTCGAACCCAGCTTTTCGCGCGGATCAAATCCATATCCCTCAATATGACAGGCGCGTGTACTAACCGATATACTACCAGAGAATGTTCAAGGGCCGCTATTTTAGTTTATGATCACTGGTTTGAGTGGCCCATCGAGTCTACGCCGAAACTCCCTCGAGCTCATACTACCTGGCAATAATATCGCAGGACCCCGAAAGCAACACGTATGTACTTATAGATAGCGAGGACATGGCTGTGAACAGTGCTGGCAGCTGGCAGTATCTGTGCGAGTCAGTGGACCCATCTTCATTGAGCACGTATCTCGGAGGCTGTCAAGGACTTGCCGTGATTTTCGAGAGATCGCTGAGGAGTTGTGAGTGATAGCTGTTCAAATTCCTGCCTCCGATGGATCGTATGAGCTTCTCTATACCTCGAACTGAACCTGAGTCAGACTGCATAATCTTTCAAAGTCGACTCTCAAAATTCATTGGTCTGAATTATAGGAATCCAGCATACGTTTCTGGATTTCTTACACCTTGCTTCGTAATCTTGGTATCGAGGGAATTTCATTCGGTGTTGTGCTTTTCATTACAAACGTCGCATTTGAACGTGTAATTGGTTGGGGTTCCTTTCGTTGGGCACCGTGACTATGGTTCAATGACACTCAAAGTTGGAGATACAATTTGTCGATTCCTGAAAGCTGGTACGCCGACTCATCTTCTTTCCTCTATTATTCAATATTCATAATAGGCAGAGAGTATCGGACCAATAGCGATGGGTTTCCTGGCTGAGTCACAGAGAAATTCCCACGGCCCCTCTCGGAAACATTTTCTGTGATGATGTTAGCTTCGCAATCACTTATGCGTGTAATACACGATGCTATTACTAGTTCCCCTTGCAGAGTTTCGGCAACAAAGACTCGAAGATGCACACCCTTTTCAATGGCAGTTTGTCACGGCGCACAAGGGCTTTCGTGCCTCGGGTGCCAGTAGGCGCTACTACTACAAAAGGTGGAAATTCTAACATAATTCCAAACCCCGGGACTATACATCAGGAGAATATGCAACTTTATACTGTGCGAAGCATGCAGACTACTGCTACTGTGAACAGGAAAAAACATACTGCCCAGGCAGTGTACGCGGCACCTACGGCATATTCAAGCCCCAGGGTCTCTATACCATAGAAGTGTTTGATAAGAGGCACTCCAACCGCACAATCCACCCCGACCCACAAGATACTCAATACGAACTTGACTCTCCTGAACGCTCTCTCCGACGCACTCCTAAAACAAGCTTGCACCGAAACGCTCAACACACTAAATGGAAGAAAAGCAGCCATGGATCCCCAAAATCCGACCAGGAAGGTCGACCAAAAGCTGACGTGGGAATATGGGCTTCGGGGGCAGCTGAGATGGAGCAATAGCCAGTGGCCGGCGACGATGCAAGCGCCACAAAATGCGCTGGCGATTGTGGCCATTAGGGAAATGCAGAGGAGAGTGAACAGTATGGCGAGCAAGATTACGATAGTCTTGCCAAAGATCCCCATGTCCTGGGTTTTTCGGATGAGAGGGTGATTTAAGAGCCGATTACGAGTTTCGATGTTATGAGCGCCTGCAAGCCGTTCATAAGATTCGATGATACAAGTCAACGACAAACCTCACCTGCCAAGGCAGCTTCTATGGCTCCATAGCTGGGGTGAATACTATTGTTGAGAAGAGATTCCTGGGACCTGGAACGACGAAAGCACTGAAAAAATTGAGACATTACGACTGATTCGTGTTAGGAACGACGAGTGGCCGAGATGTTATAATTCCAGACGTGGACGTCGGTGGGATGGAGGAAACAACGTGCATTCCCACGTCTGAACGGTTTATGTATGAGAGCGGATAAGCGCCGCTGCGCTAGAGATGCTTGCGCTTGCCGTTTGCCTTCCAGCTGAGAAACCAGTCCCGTGGGAACAACGCGGTTAACATGCCAAGTTCAAATCCTCGAGGCAGAAACAGGGACTATCTTTGCACTAGATCGACATAGTTTCTCTGCTTGCCTCTTCTGATGGGTAGTCGCCCCCTGAACTCGTTACCACCCTGCAAATAATGTAGTCTCAAAATAATGTTGCGATGTCACCTTCTCGCCGTGTTCATCATCAATAATCACGGAAGTTGTGAATATCAGGATCACTGTTCATGTGTACTGATGGGTCGGAGTACGTGATTGAGCTGACTTTTATCCCTTACATCTGTTCGTCGGAAACAAGTCGGAAATAGTTCACGTTCTTTTGCCCATTTTTAATGTATCTTTATATTATTCTTATGGTATTAGTATACTCACCTTTTTCTTCACGGCGAGTAAGAGCTTCATCCGCTCGATGTGTGCAAGTAGATCTGCTTAAGCAGATACAAATTTATGCTTAGTAGACCGATAGTAGACGGATGCATTGCCTCGCGAAGCAAACCAACTACAGAGAGTGTTAAATGTTTTCCAGATCTCAGGATTAGAGGCTCCGACGCGCCAAGGAAATATACTTACCAGGTACACCCACTGTAAACTGGTGTCGATAAAAAAAGGTATCTTAACCGTCATGGAGGGTTCATGCAATCATTGCGCATCGTGCAATGAGCTGGCAGTTGTTTTTTCAACAGGTGGACTTCTCATTGTTTTTCAGCAGTCAATGTGCGACGCTCATCTTTTACTGTCCACTTAAACTTGCGACATTGAGCTTTCAAAGCTGGACTCTGATCTGAGATCTCTGGAGCCTCGAGCAGGTTTGAGTCTTGAGTCTTGACTCGCCGCTCAGGCCAAAAAAAAAAAATTTACGTTGTTTCGGTGTCTGCAGGAGTCGAACCCACTGCTTGCGCGGAACGCTAGACGGGCGCGTGTAGTGACCGGTAGGCTACCAGAAAATTCTAGAAGAATATGACGTTGTATAGAGGTCATTACTGCTTACGTTATGTAAACCAGATGCTTTCCAAACGCCCTCTACAGACGAAACTCCCTGCAAGCATTGGCTATTCTCACTCGCGACAGCAACATTGGACGTTCCATCCATCACCAGACGGAGAAAGTGGCTCCAGTTTCGAATTCAGTCCTTTACGTGTTCTGCGAGTTTTTTCCCCCTGATATCGAGGGAATGGCATGGCTTCGTATATGGGATTGGGCAAAGGCAGCCTGGACATGTAGGAAGGACACTCTCGCGTACTGGCCTAATAGTTGGTATACGAAGTTCTAATCGTACCCAAGAAGAGCTCGTCCACACCACTAGACTATACACTCATTCCATTCCCTACCGAAGGCGATTTTTCAACATCTCTCTGCCGTTTATTTCCAAACCACAATATTCTCGCACCTGCGCAACGCTTAGACAGCAATGCAAGTCTCGACTTGGAGACGTCAGCCCGTTGATGCGAAGTTTTGCGAAAATTCCTGGTATCTCACGACGAAACGAAGGAATGTGGATTCGTACACGAAGAATACGTAAAAAGGACTCCGACGTGTACTATTAGAGTGGAAGGTACGTGAAGCTCTAGTTGTACCAAGATTAGGGCTCATTCACGCCGCCAGACCCATTTCTGACCGCCGGCCACTTCCTTTGGATTTTCGTGATCAGCACACGGCTGGCACAGTGACGGTCGGCATTGGTAGAGACAGCCAGCACAGGCATCGATTCCATGAGCGGAGTGGACTGGTCTTCGAGCGGCTACTATCAAGCGACACCAGGACGGCCCAAGGACGTACATTGAAGACCACTATGGAACGTCGAGGACACCTCCTTGACCAATGGCTTCACCCGTTCGTGTTCGCCGCCATCGTCTCTATAATCAGGCCGCGTGAAGTTTCGAATTCAACGACAATATGAACGCCAGGGCAGTCTTTGTCGCTGTGTTCTGCATACCTTTGTCAGTACCGCCAGATCACGACAAGACAAGCTCGTGCGGTTTTGTACTGATGGCTGTTTCCGAGACTCTTCATCAAGCTTTCGCTGTCATCCAGTCACATTTCCGACAGCAAATCGCAGATGAGCGCTCTGATTTGGCCCATTTCCGTACAGCGACGGCCTGCTGCTACAACGGCGATCAGCGCTGAGGCGGCATGGTTGTACGAATGCCTATCAAGCGATGCGGCACAGTCCAATGCATAGCGATGGAAATGACCGTGAAACCGTCGAACGCTTGCCGTCAAATACTACCTTTTCATTTTGCTCGGCACCAACCGCATATATGCTGCTCCGAGTCCTCAACGTGATGCGCGGCTGCATCTAGACCATTGTTTGTGACTTCGGCTTGGTTCTCAACACAAGCGCGCAGTTTCGAGGTGAGGCTCTTTATTATACCACGTTTTCTTCATACCAAGGACTTGATCCTTCCGCAGACGTTCCCGTTCCGCGAACGTTCATCAGGGACAGCATACGAGTTAGATATGAAGAGAGCGAGTGAGGACATTACAGTAAGCACTGTTGCTGTGTCGCCCTGAAATGTACTAACCTTAGGATGGAAAGGTACCGCGTCGCTGTCAATTAAAGAAGGATAAAATACAAGCCTAGACTCATCAATCTATCATAGTCTACAACATCTCAACCATGACGTTCATTCACATTGCCGGATAGAGGGATGGCTTGGTTTGCACAATCAGGGCTGTGTAGGCCTCTTATCTCGCACAAGGGTTCTGATAGAGGGCGGGTGTACGGCACCATCTCTTGCGCGGAATGCAAGGCAACGAGCCCACATAATGATGCCTGCACAGAGCACACTGAAAGGCTCTAAGATGTTTCCTCCCTCGACCTCCCCCCACCTCTCCCACCTCCGGAATGTGAAAGCTCTGGGTATCGATCTTCCTCTCTATTCAAGTTCGGTATCGAATGCATGATGCATCACCTTTTGTTACGAATACAGCGACTTCCATGCATCTGGGACATACAAAGTCCGTGATAGAAAGGCGACCGTGTGTTCATGATGCTCTCCCATACGAGGTCGAGGACGGGTGTTTAATTTCTGGTCTTGGTCATGATCAGACTACGACCATTCTATACCAAAGCAATTTTCCTCTCACCTATGCAGGTCATCCATAGCCGCATGTTCTGAAATAGAGACATCATCGCCAAGTCATAACCGTGGAATATGAAATCGAAGAACTCGCTCGTCGTTCATTGGCCCCCCCTTTCATCTATCCTGTCCCTCATCTGTTCGTAGCATGAGAGATGAAGATTGCATCTGGACCCCTGTGTGTCTTTCCGCTCGCGATGGCGAACTTTCCTTCTGTATGAATGGACGCCACTGTTCCGTGTATGTCCATCAGAATAGATATGAAGGGAAAGCGTGTGCACACATTATAGTAAGCTCTATCGCCACGTCGACCTGAATGAAAAGGGCTAACCTTAGCATTAAAAGATACCGCCACGCTCACAATTAAAGAAATCACGGAACCAGAGCCTAACACGTTCAATTCATTCCGACTTTTTCACGCCTCTCTATCCCAACTCGCGGCGTTACTTCTCCGGATGTTGCTCCTTGTTCTCATCGGGCTATTCTAACGGTCTCACGTCGGTAGTTGGGATCTGCTTGTTGCATCTCATTTCAATGGGCTTCGGGAAAATTCATCTCTCGCTTACAAGTGTTCCCCTTTGAAGAGAAGCGAAGGTACAGCGTTGAACCAGGAACTGCCCGGGGCCACTTTCTTCGACGGGGTAGTTCAATTGTGAAAAGAAGTAAAGCTGGGCAACGCCTTTGATGCCGCGATATTCTTGCGTGTCACACTCCCATTTGCGGAACAAGGGGCCTTTGTTGGGACTAGCCCGGACTCTTTACGCCCACCACTTGCGTATGAGACCATCGTTCAAGCCGGTGGCGCCATCGAGCAACGACGTTCTCCTGAGCCATCCTTGATGGGGGCTTGCTGAATCGTTACGCGTTAAGGTTGGACCATCTGTCTATCTCCCATCTGCAACTGCGATATCTTGCCTTTCTACACCCACTCCGTATTTGACTGTCCTATTTATCCCATGCTTCGTCATGCTGGATGTGCGCGTACGCCGGCAAAGTCAGCTGTGGGTCGTAGGGAAGAAAAGAAGGGAATAATTTACCATAACGTTAATGTCAACGTCAACCGCTACAGGCTGAGGTTTCTCGACAAGCAGTGGTGGCTGGGGGAGGTGGAAAATCGCTCTCCCGGCTCTTCCTCCGCTTCGCTGCCGGCTGCTTGAATAGCTGGTCATCATCTGCAACATCATCAAGAGCTTTCTTCCTCTCCTCCGTCATCTCTCGTCTTCACCCGTACCTGTACACGCAGCTGCTGCCATTTGAGGAATCTCAGCGCTCTAGACGACGACTACCAATGCCTCCTTTATTGGCTGCAAGAGTCGGGTACTCCTACGTGGCTTAGAAAGATGTGGCACGAAAACTGACATGGACATGCCTTCGTATAGAATTCGGCAACCTGGAATGGAGGCGGACGGACGAAGGTGGGTTTTGGTTGGATGAGGAAAAAGACAGACTGGACGACTGAAGGGAAAGAAGGGAAGCGATGATCTGCGCATATGAAGATGAACGTCCACACGCCTGCGCCTGCGCATAGACTTTAGCTTGAGACCATCCTGCCGGTCTGCAATGCGCGCCTCGCATGCCAAGACCTACGCGACACCTGCAAACGCGATCGGCACCCGTCAATTGATCGCAGAGGAATTGCACCCTCGATCACCACGACTAAGACATGGCATCCTCGGTCATCCACGCGCCCTTCCCTGAGTCCCGTCCCTCATCCCTCCACTCCAACGCGCCTCCCAGAAAATCTGCCAGCCATTAGCATGCGCAAACAAACACTGGTGAAAACTGAACAAGAACGCTAGATGTGCATTGCAGACAATTTAGACGTTGTATCTAATACAAGATCTCCCTGCGCCAATTCTTGTTGCATAGATCCGTACTTTTCCAAATCTCCTCCCAAAGATTTTTTGGAAGGATCAGATATCTGGCGCCGGAAAAAGGACAGATAGTTCTTGCCTTGGTGTCGATTTTATAATATCAGGGAGCATTAAGCTCTAAGATATACCATATGAGCCTCGAGAATCGACCCGATCGAGCGACGAGTCGTCGAGCTGCTGCAGTGCTGTCAGCATGTCTAGACTATTGCCCAGGAAAAAAGGAAAAACAAGCGCACCAGTATATCGACTCACTCTCTGGCTGGGAGTCAAACCCAGCTTTCGCGCGCAACGTCAGTTCTTCGACATCGAATGACAGGCGCGTGTACTAACCAGTATACTACCAGAGAATGTATCATCCTTCCAAGCGGGTAATTTATACCTCGGACCTACTGCTTCTCCCATCGAAGCATTTCACAGACGAAATTTCTCTAAGCTCCCACTTGCTTCTTGCTTCTGCGGACGTTCCATCAAAAGGCGAACCGAGTGATCAACCTGGCTTTCGAATTCGAGATGTCAGCCCTTACCGGTTTTCTCTCCTGATATCTCACGGCGAAATGAAGGAATGTTATCTCATCCGCACCGCCAGACCAACATGAACCCATTCCATCCTATCTATACCAAAGGCGATTTCTTGTCGTTGCCGTAACGCGCCTCCGTGTCCGAATCCAATCGCGTTCCTGACCGCGGGTCGCCAGCTTCCCTATCTTCTTCGGCGCATTTTCGTGAATCGCTGTGCAGGGATAGACGGTCAGCACACGGCTGTTACGGTGACGATTCGTGCTTCCGGAGGAGGCGAGCACATGCAATGACTCTGTGGACTGGTCTTCTAGAGGCTATCAAGCGATTTAGGACGGCCTAAGGACATACATTAGAGACCGCTATGGAATGTCGGGTATGGTGCTCGATGGCCTTGCCCCTTCGTGTCCGCCCTGCTCGACTTGGAGCATTCGCGACAGCAGCATTCGTAGGGGGGAACGAGCAATACAGGGGTGTTCATCTTTGAATTCGAGATGACACGGATATCAGGTCAGTCGTCTGTCGATGAATTCAGTGTGCTTTTTTCTCAATACCACTAGGTCACTACAAACACGTACAATTCTGTACCAACGGCGAATTTTCCGGACCCTCTGTCACTACGACGTGTTCTCATCCAACTTATCCTTTGCCTTGCCTTTTTTTATTGCATTTCCGTCACTAAGAGCACGTTGAAAGACTCTTAAGATGTTTCCTCGCTCAGCCTCCCCCACCTCCGAAATCTGAAAGCTCTGGGTATCGATCTTTTTCTCTATCCATGTTCGGTTTTGAATGATTCGACGATGCATTCCCTTTTGTGACGAACACAGCTACTTCCATGCATCCGGGATATACAATGTCCGCGAGAGAAGGTCGACTTTCTATCCCAACTCCCGGCATTACTTCTCCGAATGTTGCTCCTTGTTCTCATTGGACTATCTCAACAGTCTCACATCGGTAGTTGAGATCGGCTGGTCGCATCTCGATTCAATGAGCTTCGGGAAAATCCATATAATGTTCTAAGACTGTTAGCATATTTATTGACCACTCGAAGGTAACCGAGGGCGATGCGGAACAAACACTGTGTGGCGTACTGCGCACAGTGCCGGTTGTTCGTCTTGGAAGAGAAGCGGAGCAACAGCAACCAGGTTTGAGCTGCCCGGGGCCTCTTTCTTCGACGAGTGATTCATTTGTGAAGACAAGTAAAACTGAGCAACGCCTTCGATACCGCAATATTATTTGCACCCCAGCCTCGGCATTGAATTATATAGACCCTCAATTTACATCCGTCACCTGCGTATAGGCAGGGCAATCGTTCTAGCCAGTGGCGCCATCGAGCAACGTGGTCTCTCCCTGCCCTCGGTCCAGGACCGCTGAATCGTTAAGGTTAGACCATCTCTTCACGTCAAAGTATCTGCCTTGAATGTTCTGAGGTTGTCCTATTTGGATGTGAAGTCAAACCTGCTATTTTATCAGCCTGGCCTAAGGCCATTTGCGTGTCAATGAGCTGAATGAAGGTCTGTTCGGGTTTTGTGCAGGCAATATATTCAACGCAGTAATTACGAGCCATCGACAGTAGCAGTTCGTCGTCCTGTTTCAGACGTAGGCAAGGTAGGCATCGTAGCCGATGTTATCCTGTAGAAGGCAAAGTTACGAAGTGAATAAAAATTGATCAAGTGAGAACTAACCATAAATTTCTTGTTCAGCGGCCTACACGCACAAAATCAGTAATGAATATACGGGTGAGAAGAAGATTGTTTAATTTACTCGAAGAAAACGACTTTGGAATGATCGTCGCTGACGGTAAAATTGTACGCGTGCGCTTCGCTAGGGTTTGTCTGGCTATTCCCAAGCATGAGACCGCAAAAGATGGCAAAGCCCTAGTGGTGCTGTTAAGTGAGGAAGTGGAGCGTAGGCTGTTCAATTAGCTCACATCAGCGCGGAATTTATCCGCTCCCCATTGAGCAACAGCGGCCTTCATAACTGGACAAGAACGTTAGACGTGCACCGTAGACAAATTAGACCCTTTACCAAGCGCAAAATCATCGGCGTCAAAAATCTGCTGGCGCCACTTCATGTTGGGTAGAGTCGAACTGTCTCAAATCTTCTCCCAAAGGTATTTCGGAAGGATCAGATATCTGGTGCCGTAAAAAGGTCAGTAAGTCTTTCGGTGGAAAGCGCGGAATACACACTCTCTATCGACCAGATAAGTCTCATATTTATGGGCGAGACAAGCATTTTCCCCAATAATAGTCTTAATCACTGCACTCGAAAGGCTCATACGCCTGAAGAACCAGCACTGGTGAAGTTGAGTGTCATCGAAGCCAGAGGCATTCTTCCACCCATTAATCGGGGTCCCGTTGGATGGATCACTGTAACGAAAGGCATCGGCGATGGGACTGGGTGTTAAGGACAGGAACGACATACCCCTTGAACAGAGCAGCGAAAGCTAACAGCACGATGAGCTCAGGAAAAATACTGAGGAGGCATTGCACGTACTTCCCGATGCGTAATTCTTCATCCTGCAACAGAATTTAGTCCTCAGATAGAAAATACTAGGAAAAAAAGCACTTGTAGCTTTTATTGTACTGCAGAGTGCTTGATGATCCACTCCTGGTTCGTGTTGTCGGTTTTGTGGTAGCCAAAGATGGGAGTCCCGCTGGCTGGATTGCCTGAAAAAAAAATGGAAATTTCAAATAGTAGATAGATGTTAGCGCATATACTTACCTTCACTCAAAGTCATATATGTCCCTGAGATGATACTGCGGACGGTGAAGGTATCAGCCTTGCCATTCACCGGCTCGACGAGCCAAAGCTGGTTCCAGTTGATAGTGGTGTCGCTGAATTTCCAGCCGGTTATCTTTGTACCTATAAAGCACTGAGCACGGGGATTTTATCCTGCAGTTAGGTAGAAATATACTATCAGCACTGGACCCTAGCAACTCGGAATGTCAGCAGCCATATACGAGAATAATAAGATGCTTGGAGCCCCCTACCGCCGTAGAGATCCATGGCAACTGAAACGCCAGCATTGTGAATGAGGTCTGCAAGCAAAGATATGAGCAAAGAGCTGGGGAGCACAGCAGAGATATACAGATTCCGCGAGAAACAGTCATGATGAGAAGTTAGAAGAGAACCTGGGATTTCTGGGGCATATAGTCAAGACTGCTTCAGCTTATATACCTCCTCAAGCTGGTCATGAGATTTTGCCGAAAGCTGGACGGCGTATACTAGCCACTCGCAACACACCACAAAATGATGACGGCGTTTGGTCAAAGAAGACGAAACTACCCTTCGCCTAGTCACAAAATTTAACCTGTCATTGGTACGTCAAGTACGCTGTAGTATTTCTATCTTCTCTGCAAGCTGGCACCCAGAATATTACGGCGCATTGGAATAAGACGAGCATGCACCTTCATCATGTGGATACTTATTTTCCCAATGTACCGACCACTCATGTTAGACTTTAGTCGATGCAGGGATTTTTTATCGTCTCTTCATCCTCGAGGCTCAGCCCTACTTATACTTATTGCCATATTTTCTTCAGTATATATCCTTAACATAGTATATATACAACGCCTGCACCTCAGTAGGGGACCTTCTTGCACGGAACGAGATTTGTTCTAGTTCTCTCGGGTAACTCTAAGCTTCTCTCCGCAAATTCGACTCATGTAGCGACACTTGACTTGGGTCATCTGGCGTTACAGTTGAAACACTTGCCGAGGGAAGATGCCGCAATATGCCGCCCAGGGAGTGTGATAGCTCCAGAGGCAGTCGCGAAGATCAGGGTCGAAAGGAGGTGCTGGATTCAACAATGGGGCATGAGAAGCGAAAGATGTTTCCGTGACTTCGGGTGGCTGCACACTCTGAAGGGAGGAATGCTGAGGGTGCAGAGCGCGATCCCCATCGTGAAGGATGCATTATATTCAGAGTTACCGCACACGCCCCAGGCGGTCTTCTCGGCCGAGACTCTTTCGTACGTCCAGATAAGCTCGTATTGATATTAACTTCACTTGCAGCTTATCGTGCCAAAGCCAAAGGTTGTTAACGAATCCCGTTTCTTGATGTAGAGCTTCAGTACATTTGGGCCCTTATCCACACTCCAGTCAGCCTGTCGTTTCCGCTTCTTGTCTGCGCCGACATCCACGTAAACGATAAGTCCGCTGATAGATGCATTAGTCGCCCTCCTCGTTCCAACGTTTCCCTCCACTGTTCCTCAGTTCAATACATACTGATGGCTGACGATGGTTCATGCTCACGGGCTAGTTGGATCCACGCGCGAAGAATCGTACATAAACATGTAACGCACTCCCAGCGTCTAATATCAGTGGTAGACTAGGCTATGAGAAATTACCTTGTTTATAACCATCTTGCTCTGCCGCATCACGATTAATCCGATGTGGAGGTAGACCTATAGAAAGAAACTGAAAGACGATAAGTCATGGAGCATGAGTAACACATGCTTATACACGAGGAATAGAATATCCCATAAGTATACTTTCCAAAACCAGCTCTGTCATTTTGGATCGTAAGGATCCTGTTCATCGAATTTCGATGCACCGGCAGGCACCTTGACTTTGGCAGCTGCGAGTTTGAAGAAAAGGAATTATCGGAGACAGTAATGCGATCTCCCGAGGCCGAAGATGCTACTGTCTTCGAAGCTCGTGATTTTACTCATGCGGACACATGGCTGAAGATGCCTGTCGTAACTCGTTGTTTATTCTTGGCAGTATCCTTACCTTCTTGCTCGCTCTCTGAATATACCATCGTCCATTTCTCTCCCTCTCCCAGTTTCAACTACGCCGGAAAGTCTTTGTTTCCCTCCCTTCGATTT